GTGCAAATCCTTACCACGAGGCCAACAGACCTTCCCTCTAGCAGATCTTCTACTTATATGCTGAGAAGTGTTTAGTTAAGTGGTATTATTGATTCTAAAAGAATTGTGATTCAGATACTTAACAACTACATTCAAATATAATTTTATATACCATATATACTATCTATTATATAGTATACTTGTTCAGGACAGGGAAGGGTTCAGAGCTGCTATACATAGGGTCACTATACATTACTGATGACTCAATGACACCTAACAACCTAACAATAACATACTATGACAGGTATGGAAGCGTGAGTAGCATCCTCCGAAAACTCTATGAACTTTGATTGTTGATAGTTGTAGAGGGGCCTCAGGCCTTTTGTTCACAGGGTCACTAGGAGTCATTCTACTAGAAGGCAATCAACAACAATATAGTACTTATACATATTAAATTAAATTGTAAACCCAATCCAATATATTAATTTAAAACTTTTTAAATATTTAATACATTTAACACTTTTCTAGTAATATTCTATAGGAAAATAAAACAATGATTTTATAAAATTTTGCTATATTTTCAGGTTATTTATTTATTCTGAATATATTTCAGCTGTCTTAAAGATACTTAGTTTTTCTGAAGACTAAGTAATGATTATATAAGCTTCATTAACAAACTCCTTACTTTTCTAACTTCCATTTTCACTACAGATCCCAATTGTATTTACTGGTAGTGACAGAGTAAGAAAAGACAATCATATTTCCATTTTATATGTGGTGAACCAAAAGCAGAGCAAAAATTAATTACTTGAGTGTTTATTATATTTTAGGGCCTGTTACTTAATGTGTTTCTCACAGAGAATCAAGCGACTAAATCAAACAGAACCTGATTTCAATTTAAGCTTGTTATTTGCAAATCAGGGCCGACACAGGCTCTTCACAATGAATAAAACCATTTTTGTTTAATGTCATCTTACCTGCACAATATCCCTCTCAGCATACTTCCCTCTGGAAGAGACTCTGACATCATCTCCATCCAACTCGACCATTGCTTAAAAATAAAATATGACATTTTATTCATGTATTTTAGCCATATATCAATATTGTAATGTAGGGAATAAGGAAATTGAGATCTATAAAGTACCAATATGTCCTATGTAAAAATAGAAAGCATATGGATCCCAATACCTCTTCCTTAAGACAGGACAGAGTGCACACTTTTACAGAGAAAAAGCAAGACAAGACCTCTTGTGACCCTCTGAAAAGCAAGGAGCCAAAGCCATGTAGCACTGTCTTTGATGCATCTCCCAACTGAAGCCTTAATTCTCATTTATTAGCTTACATGACAGATTTGGAAAGTGATGCTAATGCAATAACTTTTAATTCTTCTTTTTACTTTAAGAAGAAAGCTGGCATTAATCACTACAGGATTTCCTATAACAATCTGAATTTGATTCTTGTTGAAACAATATTTATTGAGAAATCACAACAAAGCTATGTTGTTGTTGTTATGTGCCATCGAATCATTTCCGACTCATAGCGACCCTATGCACAACAGCTCTAAACCCTGCTCTATCCTGCGCCA